CATGCATATCCCGAAGGAATTATAGAGGGTGTCCTTGTCCAAGTTAATGATTTGATTTTCCCGGTCGACTTCTATGTCTTGAAAATGCATGATGAAAATTCACCAACACCACTACTCTTAGGGAGACCTTTCATGTGTACGGCGGATACTAAGATTGATGTTAAGCATGGTAATTTGACGATGGAATTTGATGGAGAAAAAATTGAATTTAAAATTTTTGATGCAATTGAACATCCCCTAGATTCTCACTCTGTTTTCTCGTTAGATGTCATTGACTTTAAAGTGTAGGATGCTTTGGAGGTAAGAGGCAATGAGGCGCTAGAAGTGATCTCGCACAGGTATGCCCATGCTCATTTATTGTTTCCTGAGACTAATACACGATTATTGCCTTCAACTGTGCAGCCACATGAGTTGAAAATTAAGCCTTTTCTGAATCACTTGAAATATGCTCATTTGAGAGATGGTGAGATACTACCGGTGAGTATCTCATCCACAATGATGAAAGCCAAGATGAACGAGTTGAAGAGCGATGCAAAGTATTACGTGTGGAATGACCCGTTCAAGGATGTAGAAGAAGTTTGTTTGGATGGCTCTTGAGGGACCTTCGTCCTAAATTCTCAATTAATAATGTCTAGCCAAAGACATTAAAAAAGGCACTTTTGGGAGGCAACCCAATGTTATTTATTTATTTATTGTTGTTTTCTCTTGTGTGTTTAGTGTGTTAATTAGTTGTCTTTGCTTTCCGTAGGTGATGGTGATCGCAGCATGCCCGGGACTATATTTTGAGCACTTAAGAATATCATTCCAGCATGCGGCACGACTTTAGGCATGACCATGCTGGCCTTGCAGCATGTCCATGCCAGATGAATTTATCATAGTTTTTGAAGATCTTGCGCACCATCCCCACCCGGTCCAGAAAAGTCCTATTGTCCTTTGCTCTTTTTCTTTTCGAGATGTATTTACATTGGGGACAATGTGCATAGTGGGTGTGGGGGAGAAAATATCAATTATTTTCCCGATTGCATGACTGACTTGTGTGCTAAAGACTTGTGTTTATATCTTTCCAACATGACATATTTTTATTAGATGACTTGCCAATGAAGTAGGTGATAAATATGCCGAGTATGACATGTTTTACCCTATGCAACATTTGAGCCTAATCGAGTATTCTTTTTAAATGCTACTTATTTCTTCTTGTGTGTGATTGTTGCTATAGACTTATTTTCTAAAACTTGCGTAGCGATGCATGTCGACTTTGATTTCCTAGGAGTCTATGCAATTAATATGATAAGGGCATTAGGATGAACCATTTGGCCTAATATATTTCCTACCTAAAAAATTACTCACTAGTGAGCCTTTTTGAGCTTGAATATCCTATTTAATTGTTAAATGAGCCACATATTAACCTATGACCTTTCTTTCTAAAGCTAAAATTTATTTGAACCTATAGTCAAAGGAAAATGTTTTGAGCTCATATTATTTTAAAGTCTCCAAGGGAATGAGAAGTCATGTCTATTTATTGTTGTTTATTGCTTATGAGAGAAGAAAAAAAGAAAAGAAATGAAGGAATTGCAAAAAAAAAAAAAAAATGGCACAAATTTTCATTACATTATAGCAGAAATGAGATTTTGGTGTTAACTTGTTGGTTGAGTTGGGTGTATTACAGGCTATATTGGTGAGCATTCTTACGTAAATTGCAAGAATAAAGTTTTGAGTATGCATGTTAATGAAGGAATAACTGATGAATGAGAAGTATAACACGGAGTCTATATATTACAAAATGAGCTTGTAATATTTTCTTTTTGACTTATTTAGCCAAATAATATCCTATATCCTACCCCAACCTAAAGCCCCGTTACAACCTTATTTAAAGACCCTTTAATTATTTGCATTTGATTTCGAAGAATTAAGAGATGTGATCAATATGCAAGCCTATGGGATAATCATTTTTATGATGCGACACGAGTGACTTGTTAATCCAGATATATTTGAGTGTTGAGTGTATACACTTTATTCATAGTGAGGTTATGTTGCGCTCGGTATGTCTTGAGTTTCATTGAGGTAATGATGATGTGAATTTGTTTGTGGAGATTATGATTGCATCAAGTTCTTGCGTGTGCTTGTTTGGTTTATGCTTAAGAGAAAGCATGGTTTGGGTGTGGGGGAATTGATAATGCATATATTGTCATATATTCTAATAGTTAAATTATAAATTTATAATTAATAATTTGGGTAGATCTTACTAATTTTGGTATAGTTGTGATTGGTGGCAGGTACAAGTAATTTTAGCTAATCATGTCTATTTTTTGGGACAAAGATTGAGGAATTTATAGGATTCATTATGCGTGCCAAGGAAAGTCGTGATTTAAAAAGATGGTGGCATGATTATAGGCGTGAAGATGGAAGGTGAAAAATGTAGGCTTGATCATAGGCATGAAAAATGGAAAGTAGCAATCAAGGAGCAATTGAGGAGTTTCCTCGTCTATAAAAATGGGGGAGACATTGGATGAACAATCACAACTTACACTCACATTTTATAAGGATTGAGCGAGGCATTTGAGAGAAAGCGCTACTGGAAAATCATCCTTATCTGCATCTTATTGTTTTCTTTTATTTTGAGCATGAGTAACTAGTTTTCTTTATTTTAGCACAAGGTTGAATTTAGATTTCGGATTTGGATTTGTGAGATTATATTTTGATTTAAATTGCATCTTGTTTATGAAATTGGTATTTGTACAATTTCTGTTATTCGTAACTACAATTTTTTTATTTAATCTTTTATCGCGGCCGAATTTTAGATTTGTTTAGCAATTGTATGTCAATTGAACATTTGCATATGTAATTGTGCACTTGTTTGATAAAGTGATAAAGAGGTTGACAAACTTAGCCTATGAATTGCATGATGAAATAATTTAATCTTTTCGTAATTGATTGAATATTTGAATTGGGTTTTTCTCGGGCTATTTTCAATTGAGGAAATTAATTTATGGTCATACCTAGATTATTTCTTTGATTAGGGATGCGGTTAATCGGCCGTACCATTGTTGCCAATAAAGTAAGGAAAAATTGGGCGTTATGATCGATCTTATCTAATGTCTATAACCAATTTATGAATTGAATAGCGAGATTATTTAAAATCGATGATCGAATCTTTAATCCGGTTTCTTGTTCACTCATTGGGCTAGAAGTTTAATCTCATTGAAATCTAAATTTTATCACTTATTTTAACTATCTTAGTGAATTGCTAATCTATCCCTCCCCCAATATTTGAAATTGTGACAAAAGAGAAATTAAACTTCACAGTCCATGTGGATCAACCTCGGCACCACTTGCTACGCGGCAATTGTGGTGTTAGATTATTTTTATTGGAGGCAGAGCTACCAATTATACCGCATCCAACCGAAACTATACCCGATAAGAACGGATGGATCCAAAAATTTTAATTTTTTTTTATAATTCTTAAATTTTAATGTATGCAATAATTTAAAAGAAAGTCTTTATTTTATTTTATTTTTCTCTCTATATAAAGCGGGATTTTTATGTTTTTTAAATCTATATCGTATTAGGATATTTTAAATTCTACATCTATATCTTGGAGAGTCAGATATAAATTTAAAGTAATTATTTTGTAAAATCTGTTTTTAGATTTTTTTTTTTCCTTTGATACATTATATTGTTGTTGTTGTTATTCAATTAGGTTTCACTATGTTCCAATTAGATCTAGTTTCTTGATATGTGTGAGTATTTTTTTTTCTTTTTTCAGTACAATCGAGGTTTAACATTTTTCAATTTTTGAATCGAATAGTTGAGAGTTTAAAGATCTAGAACTCTATTTCTTGTATTTGGAGAATTGCATCGGTTGAGATATTTTACATATTCAGTTTTAGATTTAGTAAATTTATATATAGATTTGGTCTTATCCATAGTAGTTTTATATTTAGATTTGGTTTTATCTATTATTAGATTACTTAGATTTGAGTATATCGAGTCTGTTTTGTATTTCAGCTTAGGTGGAGACTCAACTGTTTTTCGGCTCCGGTGGAATCATATCATTTTCGGCTCCGGTAGAGACTCAAATGTTTTCGGCTCCGCTGGAGAGTCATGTCGTTTTCGGCTCCGGTGTAGAGTCAACTGTTTTTTGCTCCGGTGGAAAGTTATGTTGTTTTTTGCTCCTACAGAGAACCATGTCGTTTTCAATATCTAAATAAAAATCTACTAAATTTAAAACCGAATATCTAAAATATTTCAACAACATCTAAACTTAGCTTTGAGTGATGTTTCTTTTTCAATATATTATCATATTCTCCACTTTTATTTTTCTATAGATTGGTGATGCTATTTTCATTTGGTTTTAACAACAACTCAAGTTAATCTTTTTTTTTTTTTTTTTTTTTTTTTATATAGGTGCACTACAAGAAAATATCATTTCTGTAACAGAAGTTTTTTTTGGTCTTTAAATCTACTTTTTCCGTTACTAATGACAATAGAGACGGAATTTGGGATGAAATTACGTTAGCTACGTGAACTTTACGAACAAAATTCCGTTACAAATATACCCTTTAGGGGCCATTTTGATCGATATATATATATGTATATATAAAATAAATATTATAAATATATAATATTAAAATTTATTCGATTGTATTTAGATTTGAGTTTTTATTAAATATATTAGATATGGTATTTTATTAAAAAAAATAGTATATTTATATTTGTAATAGATGCAACAAGCCCAAAAATTATTTTAAAATAATAATTTTTTTTATTATTTATATATAAAATAATTACCATTTTTTATTTTTTCCCGTGGCCCATCAAAACCCAGGAACGGCCCTGGATGCACTTGAGGTTCGGTTTTATGACACAATTTAGGTTCGGCAAAAAGCTCAAAATTCTCTCTTCAGACGTTAGTCCTAATCTAAAATAAATTTAGAAAATATTATTTTGTTTCTTTATATAAAGAAAACAGAGCAAATGTGTTAAATCTGGAATTGAGTAGTCAAAAATCAAGATATTTCACATTCTACGTCTATTATTTGGCGAGCCTAAGTTAAACTCAAGGTGATGTCTTTATTCTCATGTTCCTTCTCTCTTTTTCTCTTGATATGTCGTCGCGATTGTTACTCATTTACAATTAAGTATAATTAGATTGAAGTGACTTTTTTGAATACATGAGATTCTTTCAATACACTCGATGTTTTTTCGATACAATCAAGGTTTGACAAAAAAACTCGAAATCAATTACTTCCTTCCCCATCAAATGATATTGTGGATTTGCAATTGTAACTTGTAACAAAGTAATATAATATTGTTTTTACCTTATATGTAATTTACTAATAGAGAATTCAGAGATCTCGCATTTTAAATCCATTATTTGCAGAGTGGGATCTAAACTCAAACTCAAGGTGATGTTTCTTTTATCGATCTATCTTATATGCATTCTCTCATTTTCCTTTGATGGATTGTTGATACTATTATTCATTCATTTTTTAAGCTACGATTCAATTGGATTTAGGTTTTCGATACATTCGAGATTTTGTTGATATACTCGATGTTCAAAGAAAAATCTAAAATATTTCTGTTTTTTTTATTTCCGATACACTCAATTTTTTATCGATATACTTGAAGTTTTATCGATTAGATCTAGTTTCTTGATATGCTTGAGGTTTTTCATTTTATTTATTTATTTTTTTTGATACACTAGATGTTAAACAAAAAAAATCAAACCAATGGGATTGCTAAAATAAAGCAAATATCTTAGTGATTGTCATTATCATTTTTATAAACTTGATATTTGTAAATAACATTTTATTTTTACAGTATTCTTGATTCAAGTTTGAAGGCCGGAGAAAGACACAACAAATTCCTATCATTTGCTTAAATTTCATATTCTATAAAATGGTAAGATTTTTTATTTATTTTTATTTAAAATTTCTTAAAATAATATTGATTTCCATGGGTTTAGGGCCGCATTTGTAATAACTATCATGATTCGGACTCATTGCGCTTATCCTTAAACTAAAAAATCTTATTATTATTAATATTATTTTCAAAAACTGTCATATAATAACATCGTATACAACTAGATTCTTCTACTTTGAGTAACCATATCTCTTCTATATGATACATATTTTTTAATTTTACATTTATTTTTGTCAAATTAGATGTTCTTTTCTTTGAAAGAACCTAATATTTCTTAGAACTCATTGGTACCACGTAGGAGACATAGAATTTATCTAGAGAATAAAAGCCCCACATACGAAATATAAATTTCAAGAATTGGTTATATATATTGGTTGTAGAAAAGAATAAAAAAGAGAGGGAGCATTTCATGTAGTTTTAATAATTTTGTTATTTATTTGGTGTGATTAAAAAAATATTAAGTATGTTGATATTTTTTTGGCCCAACCCATTCCCCAAGCCAACCCGCAACCCAAAACCCCTAACCCGACACATTCTATTAGATAGTTTCTTGTTGTTTGACATATTAGAATAAAAACACAACAAAGTTAATAATTAGTTATTTAAACTAATGTTACAACGAAATTACTTGCGTCTTATACGAAGATTAAAGTTTTACCGTTATACGTCAATAGTATATATGATGATTTTTCTTTTTCCTCGCAAATCTGCTTTGATGGGATAGGTTTAGTGGGTTGATGTTAGAGTATTTGCTTAGATCAATTTGATGGTGTGAAAATTAAAAACTCTTGTGACCTCGTAACCATATATGTGTTATTATGGAATTCTACCATTGGATTGATATGGTAAAAAAAAAAACCATAGTTGTGAAATCCTCCGAACAAAAAGGAAAGAAGGTATAAGGAAAGCCTAAATTTTTATTCCAGAGGCATAGTGATTTTGAAAATATTGCAGTTTCAAACCATGAACTTTTCTCCACTTTTAAAACTTTATTATACGGCTAGATTGATGTTTGCATATGTGTAATAAAGAGTATATATATATATGTTGAGGTTGGAGAGTACATTTTGTTCGAAATAATTTTTTTATGTGCATTAACATGTTGTTAACTTTCAGCACTTGAGCATATTGAATGGGGTCTAAATGAAAGATTGAATGTTCATTTAATATTTTCATGTTTCTTGAGTACTATGTATTTCTTGCTACCTTATACTAATAATGAAGAATTTGATTATTATCAACCATCTTTACTTCATTATAAAGGATAATCGGCAATCAGTGAGTAACGAAGGAGAGGGAAGGGCATCATTGCCAAAAGATACTCAAAATGAACAACAATTGGTTGTATATACTCCTAGTGGTCAAGATGAACCGTCTACTTATAATGGCACTGGTAAGCAACTGAGGAGAGGGAGAGGAAGAACCCAAGCACATTCTTGGAGTAGAGGTAGGTGTTCACATTTTAAAAGCATAAGTTTCAGTACTTCATTATTACATTTTGTGTTGAGTTTGGGTTTAGGATTAAACGATGACAATTATGTTGTGATTTTATGTTAAAATACTTCAAATATAATTTGAAGCTATTGTATTGTTGTAACTGGTTTTTAATATGTAAATTTTCAATTTATATTTAAAATCTTTTAATATTTATATTTAAATTTAATAAATATTTCATTTGAAAAAAAAAACATAAAATATTAAGTCCGTGGGGTCTAATTTCAAATCTTGGAGAATTTATTATTTTATTGGCGGATTCGAGATATCCTTCGAGTTTTGTGGAGACTATCTCGGGTCTGATCAACTATATATAGTCAAACTCAATGAAAAACTTGGATTTCAATTTATATCATATCCATTGTAGTATTGTGAAAAAATAACACATTTCATTTTTATGTAGAATATTATTTCAAGAAACAATGCAAATATTTGTCTCTTAGTAATATATTGTGAAAATTTATAAATTTATTTTAGTTATTTATTCTTTACCGGACTTAAGTTCACGCCGACAAAGATTGAATATTTTTTGTTATCATATGATAATCATAGCTTCTATATGAAATTGATAACTTATTCCGTCTATGCTATGCATGTTTTGTATAAATTAAACTTAAAATATTTCTCTAGCATAAAACATTCTATTTGTCTTTGATCAAAATTTGAGTTGAACGTTAAATTTATATGTTTTTTAATTTATGAAATTAATGCACATTTGTCTATGTTATTTTTTTCCCCTTTTTTGCAATCATCCCTTATTAAAACCAAATGTTAGCACCATTATTCATACAAAAATAAAATAAAATGCCAGCATAATTTTTTAACAAAGATTTTCGGTAATAATTTATGTATTCATTTTAGATAGAATGTTCAATAGAACTATTCTTAGAAAAATAATCAATTTTTATCTCCCTAATTTTTAAATTTTGCACGGATGCTAATCAAAGTGTGCATTAAGATCGTTTCAATTTGAGTTTAAATTAGCTAAAAAAAATGATACATTTGAACTAACAGATAACATACTGAGCCCCGAATCAGCAATGGAAATGCATGATGGAGCCATCGTGGGTAGAGACGAGACAATTGATTCTCCCTCTTGGGTCGAGGGGAATGACCAAAGGGAATTGGCGAGTCCTACTCTGAGGATTGGTAGTGTTCCTCCATCCAAGATAACACCGGAGATGGTGGAGATTCCTCCAGGGGACATCGGGAGGATTCTTGCAGCGGATATGAAGTTCGAGAGAAAAGTCTCTCTTGTACATATGAGCTTGGGGCTGCTTGACAGGGATGAAGTGACCCATAACTACCCAACACCACCGATGGTCGATCGGGTTGAGCCTGCGAGAGATGTGCCGCAGCTGGAGGCGGCACCTGTAGTGACCGAAGAAACTCGAAATAATATTGCTGCGATGACCGAGCATTTATTTGGAGGTGATGTTTTAATTATAGCTGTTCTTGTTTGCTTATCGCTAACAACTTCAAGGGAGAAAAAAAGTAACGTTGTGATTTCTGCAATGTGGTTGCAGATTCTGAAATGGCCGAGAGGGATCATGATCTTGACACGACAGGATGTGATGACCAACCCGAGATGGACGATGATCTTCCCGTGACATCGGGATTTGACGAAAAGGTGCCAACAATTCTCATTTTCTATTAAATGCCTCCCGTGAACAATATCTTCACTAAATATGTATTTCTAATCTTTAGTTCAATACTGAAACTGAACATCCATGGCCTGCAGGTTGATGAAGAGCTTGTAGCAGCTCAAAATGATAGATGTGCCGACGAGAATCATAACCTGTCCTATATGGGCAGCCGAGGATTAATTTGTACGTCCTGTGGTCATGTGGAGCTTGATGCATATCAAGTTTTGAGCTCGAGGGTAAGTATATCGATTTTGAAGCTGTACTGCTTCCATTTTAAGAAGTACAAACATCGTCTTATCTGCAATTTCCTTTTGCTTTTGTAGGTGGACAAGATTTATTTCGATAGCTCTGAAGAGGAAGATGAAGAAGGTAATGGCCGACCTAAGAAAATTCTAACATTTGAAAGTTATCAGTGGTTGACATTGTCATATTTGTGTCTCTTTGCTCAGGGACACAAAATGAAAATGAAAGGAAAGTGGCGGCGAAGAAAGGCAGCATGCGCAAGATGCAGCCTTCTGAGGAAGAATTCGAAGAGATTTTGGAGCATTTAAGGAATCAAGCTCATACTCACGCTCAGGCTCGAATTTTTGGTGATGAGTGTTCAGTCCCTGAACTAGTCTACGACTCCAGCCAGGATAATTCTGACAGCGCCAGCTCCTCCAATACGATGGCTCCCCTTGATGAAATTGCCGACATTAATGTTGCTGGCATTGGCATTGGCATTGGAGGCCAGGTTCGATCTACAAGGAGGATCAATACGCACCTGTCCTCAATTTATGTTTTGGATGGGCTGTCTGGCGACGAAGACTTCACTCTGAGGAAGAGGCGAAAAGTGAAAAATGAGAAAAGAAGAGTGGACACTGCAGAGGCCGTGGAGGAGGATGCCTCAGGGCAGCGCAAAATCGCAACTCCAAAACGGAAGGGGAAGGCTGCAGTGAACTCTCCTCAGAGGAGGCTGTCGGAGATGTGTGCAGACGACGAACACAGATTGGAGCCAGCGGCGGGTGGAGTCTCAGTCTCAGTCTCCAAAGCTAAGCGTTCCAAAGCTCCGCAGACTAGCAGAAACAGCGGTGGTGCGGATGACATGCCATATTGGCTTCAGGAGATGACCAAGTTCATGACTGGGGCCAAGGCGAAGAAGACGAAGCCAAAACGATTTGACATCTCCAAGTTCTTACAAGAATCCTTTCTTAGACCACCGTCTCGGACAATGCATACTGGCGAAGGGAGTGGGGCTGCAAATGGAGCTGTTGACTACCCTGATCTTCCGAAGAAGTTCAGGTTTGAAGACGATGTCGTGCCACCGACACCGACAGAAGAGGAGCAGAGAGAAGCTGAGGTGGCGATGGAGGTGGACGACCTTATTGATGAGTTGAACTTCAACTGCGCTGCGGAACAAGTGGGAACGATTACCAGCTGTGAGGTAGTTTCAACACTTGTGTAGACTAATTTCTATATTCAAACAATATTTAGACAATAACCGGTTCCACATTGAGAACTGATTCAGCACTAACAATGATGCATTCATGGCCTGCTGCAGGTCGTTCATCTGGACGAGGAGGAAGACACTCAGGAGCGCAGGTGTGCTCGAGGGCTTCATGTGCTGACATTAGAAGACAACCAAGGACTATATTGTACCTACTGTCAGCATGTGGCGATTCATCCGAGGGACGTAATTCCTCCGTGGGTAAGTATATATTGATTGCTTCCTTAAACAAGTAAAATTGTTCCTTGTAATTAATTTATCTTTTCTCCAAAATCTGTTATCTGAAAGTGAAAGTAGTAGGTCAGCGCATGATTTGTTTATATGACATGACGTCTTCCTTTTGCAGGCGATCAAGGGTCACCGTGCCCCCGGAAAGAAGAAGAAGAAGCAGGACAAAGGGGAGGGTCTCGATCTCAGCGCCGTTAGTCTCGCAGTTGCGGATGCAGCTGATGTAAGCAGCTGGAGTAGCGGCTCAGTTTGGAGCATCACGGCTGGTGTGCGAGAAACTATGTACCAACACCAGCAAGAAGGATTTGAGTTCCTCTGGAAGAACTTGGCAGGTAGCACTGACATTGCCGAGTTGAAGAACTCAAATATACCTGGAGTGGGCGGATGCATCATTTCTCATGCACCAGGGACTGGAAAGACACGTCTGACGATTGTATTCCTCGAGGCGTATCTAAAGATGTTTCCAAACTGCCTTCCCATCATCATTGTCCCAGCCAACATACTTGGTACCTGGGAAGCAGAGTTGAGAAGGTGGAACGCCGGGTTTAATTTCCACAACCTCAACAATCCGGCATTCATCGGCGACGAGAGGGCGGCTGCTGACCATCTCTTTCCAGGAGTGAGGATCACATGTCGGGATTTGGAGGCAATCCGGATGGTTAAAATATATACTTGGAAGAGAGGGGGAGGTCTTTTGGGGATTAGCTACAATCTCTTCGAGAAGCTAACGGGGCACAAGGAGGTGGAAGCAAATGCAGGCGAGGAGGAGGGGCAGAGAACAGTTGCTGAACACAACTTGGGAGTTCTGAGGTCGACACTTCGTGAGCTGCCTGGGCTCGCGATTCTTGATGAAGGCCATACTCCTCGTAACAGCAGGAGTAAGCTTTGGGCTTCACTGGTTCAGCTCAAGACAGAAAAGCGTGTCATCTTGTCCGGGACGCCATTCCAAAACAGCTTCCAAGAGCTGTTCAACACCCTCAAGATCGTAAGGCCGACAGTGGCAGAATCGTTTATGCAGGATCGCACATTTGCTGAAATTCTGCAGTCAGATAAGAGAAGGCAAAGCTCTCGCCCTGCTTTGCTTCCCCAAGCCATTGATCGTGCAGTGGAGAGGCTTAAAGTCTCCATGTCGCAGTTTGTGCACGTGTACAAGGGAACTGTCCTGCAAGAGAATCTCCCCGGATTAAGAGATTGTGTCATCCTCCTCAAACCGACTGGGTTGCAAAAGATACTGATCGACAAGTTGGAGGGGGAACGGTCAAGCAGAGCAATTAATAATGAATTTGGATATTCCTTGGTATCTACCCATCCTTACCTCGTCCAAAAATGCAAGTCGCAAGTGCCAACGGATGAAATTGATATGAAAGCTGTCGAGGCATCGAAGCTCAGTCCTGGCCAAGGAGTCAAAACAAAATTCATCCTCGAGTTTGTCCGCCTGTGTATGCATCTGGATGAAAAAGTGCTCATCTTCAGCCAGTATATTCCGCCCTTGGAGCTGATCAAAGAATATCTGACCGTGAAGTTCGATTTGCATCTTGGGAAGGAAATTCTGAAGCTGGACGGGAAGCTAGACAAGAAGCAACGGCAGAAAGTGATCAATGCATTCAATGATCCAGACAATGATTCGAAGATCATGCTGGCGTCAATAAGGTGCTGCTCTGAGGGCATAAGCCTAGTCGGGGCTTCCAGGGTCATTCTGCTTGATGTCGTCTGGAACCCTTCAGTCGAGCAGCAGGCAATCTGTCGGGCTTATAGGATTGGGCAAAAGAAGTTTGTCCACAGCTATCATCTTATGACTGCTGGCACGGCTGAGGCAGACAAATATTGCCGGCAGGCTGAGAAAGAGCGGATATCAGAATTGGTGTTCTGCTCTTCTTCGAACGAGAAGGCCGTATCGAAGCAGCCCATGGCGGGGATTGAGGACAGGATTCTTGAGGAGATGGTCCAGCACGCCATGACAGAAGATATGTTTGAAAAGATCATCCACCAGCCCAAGAATGCCGACTTGATCCAGTCCTTAGGCGTCAGAGCTTGACTGGAGAGTCTTCGATTCCCGGGAGTATAAAGGTACGTACGCTTGTCTTGATCACTGAAAGTGTTTGGGAAGAAACAGATTCATGAGTTGATTGATTCAGTTTTGTTTGTGAAGTTGTCAACTGTTTGGTTGATGATTTTGTGATCTATCGACTTTTTGTTTGAGGTTTAATTTCTGGCAGAAACAAAATATGATGGAAATATTGCGGTTCGCGTAGGTTTTTGATGAATTTTGGAATGCTTTCTTTGACCATTTGTATAGATTTATATGATGCAATTCAGATTTTTTTTCCCTCATTTTCTGACCAATTGCTATTCAGATACTGCTCTTGGTTCGCACTAACATTGATATAAACTTCTATGTTTTTTCAGGTTGATCGCATTGCTCGTGTTGCATTTGAAATGCGTAAGAGGTAATATTTATTATTATGAATTCCCTATCTTCGATCAAGTTTGTATCATTTAATCTTCAAGAAGTATCTTAAGATCCATATAACTTTTTTGCACTTCACAATAAAAAAATCCGTATCCCTTCCCCCCGTATTAAAAATAATGCGCGAGGCATATTGTTGTGTAGGGCCCTGGAATGTTCGAACTCCTGACATTGCCGGCCAGGTTTGTTTGATGTTCTCATACATGTATTTTAGAACTTAAACTAATGATTTTTTGGCACAACAATGCACATACTACGTACATACTTACATTGAGGACAAAGCGAATCCACTGCTGCCATGCTTTTGGGTGAGGAGAGAGCCGCGCAAGGAACTGAGGTAGCCGTCTTGGATGTTCTAGATAGATGGAGGATATCGAACTGGCGACATATTCTCGGCCAGAATGGTAAAACAACACAATCCATTTGATTGATCAATCATCAGTTGCTCGCTCGAGCTTATTATTTGCCGTCCTAGATTTTCATGTGTACAAATCAGTAGCTTTGATGTATATTCTTTGGTGCTGATTGCACAGAAATTAGCCGAGGGAAAGGAAAATGGGCGAACTAGTCCATAGAAAGCAAAGCTACCGACGGTGTGTGAAACCGATTCTGCCAATATTACATGATCTTGTGCATGCTGAGGGATTGGAACTATTAAGTTAACTTCTGGATATTTTCTATGTTTTATGTTCTTGAGGCTCAAATCTTTTTATTATGCAATTTTTACAATCTTTTGATGAATTTTGGAATACCTTTTTCGACCATTTGTATAGATTTATACGATTGAATTCAGATTTTTTGCCCCCATATTCTGACCAATTGCTATTCAGATATTGTTTTTGGTTTGCACTAACATTGATATAACTTCTATGTATTTTCAGGTTGATCGCATTGCTTGTGTTGCATTTGAAATGGTCAGAAAACAGCATAAAAATTTGATACGGATTTATTTTTGGAGTTCTTCCGAAAGGCATTATACTAGCGGAGTTCATGTGGACTTATAAGGTAGAGATTTTTCTTCAAATCTTCTAAACTAGGACTTGCATTTGCACCAGAGCATTAGCTTCATGATATGAGTAAATGAACTATTAACAGTTTGGCACATTATCATGCAGTTTGATGTGATTCTCACAAACAATATATTTCGGGATATCTGTTCTGATCAAGCATCAAAGATTTCGGGAAGCATTGGGATGCTGCCACCGACAGAACCTGGGTGAAACGGTATGTGGTATGTTAGTCCTCCCAAAGAAATCCGTATCCCTTCCCCTCTTATTAAATATTAATGGTCGAGGCATTGTTGTGTAGAGGCCTGGAATATTCGAACCCATACATGGATCTGCTCGGTCAGGTTTGTTTGATGCTGTCATACATTTATTTTAGAACTTAAACAAATGAATTTTTTGCACAACAATGCATATACTACATACATACTTACATTCAGGACAAAGCGAATCCACTAGCAGCGGTGCGTAGTGCTGCCGTGCTTTTGAAGTACGGGTTGGGTGAGGAAAGAGCCACGCAAAGAACTGAGGTAGCCGTCTTGGATGTTCTAGAGAGAGGATCTCGCACTGGCAACATATTCTCGGCTGGAATGGTAAAAACAATACAATCCTTTATCTATCAATCATCAGTTGCTCATTCTCTTATTATTGTCCTAGATTTTCATGAGTAAAAATCATTAGATTTGATTTATATTTATTGCTAGTTATTTTCTCGATTAGATTGGTTGATGTTTGCAGATTGTCTGAACTTCGGATGGGCTACAGAAGAAGATTGAGCCTTTGCAATTTGGGCCTAAATATTATGAAGGCCTACTTGGTTGCTAATCCATATATCATATAGCCTTGCTAATGGTGAGAGAAAATTGAACATTGAGAGAGTGAGGGTAGGGGATAGGTTGAGAGCTGGGAATGATCAAGAAATTGTGAGATGGATTTTTTGAGTGTATAGCTCGATTGTATCCATATATCCTTGTGCTTCGATGATTTTGATAGTGAATTTTGCCTGGGTTGGAACCCTCCAGATGTAGGTCGTTGATGACCGAACTGGGTTAACAATTTTTTTGTGCTTTATATTCTTTTCGTCACCACTATGTGCATTCTTAGTTCGATCGCCCAACAAACAATATTTTTGAAGTTTGCTGCAGTGAGGATTTGATCATTTTTTCTTTGGCAAACAATATTATTTGGTGCTGATTCCACATAAATTAGCAGGGGAAAGAAATGGGCGAACTAGAGCTCAACTCCATAGAAAGCAAAGTTACCGATGATGTGCGGATACTACATGATCTTGTGCATACCGAGGGATGGGAACTTTTAAGTTAACTTCAGGATTTACTCTATGTTCTTGACGCCCAAATCTTTTTATTATGCAATTTTCACAATTTTCCTAGCTTTCTCTCAATTTTCCTAGCTTTCTCTTGACTTCGCAATCAATTTTGGGATTAGAACATGTTCATTGATTTTAAACATAGACAAGTTTTCTGCATTCATTTTATTGATATGTCTTGAAAGACCATATTTAGTGTTTGATTTTTTTGCTTGCCAAAGATTTGTCCTAGTTTCTACAACTTTGTCAAAAGTGATCACAACTAGGGTTTAGGGCTCATTTGCATTAATAGTGGGTTTTGTTAAGTTATAAAGATGATGTTCAAAAATATCAAAACTGCTTTAATTAGATTAGTTTGGAGGACATAAGGTAAGAGCATTGAGTTGGAACAGTTTTGTGGTTTTCAAATTGAAAAAATAAAATGGAATTCCCTCGTCAATGCTTTTTTTGCAATTACTGATTGGATTTTCATAATTTGTAGGAAAAATACAATATATATATGTATATATATATATATACATATATAGTTTGAGCCCATGAAAACAGAATAAGGAAGAAGGTTTTAAGGAAACCTTTGTATTGATTCGAGAGGCATATAATATTTTTTAAAATGTTACCATTGTTAAGTATGAGATTTACTAAAACTTCATCGACGGAGTTGCTATATTGAAAGAAGACGCTTCACAATTTTTACATATTGTTTGGATATATTCATGAAATTTTGTTAAAATAACAAACTATTTCTTTATTTAATAGATGAACTTTAGGGTGTGTTTACTTGCGATTTTTGTTTTATTTTAATGTTTTAGATCTAGATGGTTTCAAAGGTAAAATAATTTTATAATTAAACTGAAGCCACAAGTAAATATTGAAGATTGTATAAAAATTATATATACTTAATGAATATATTTGTCTCTTTCCTAGTTCCATAATTTATTTTTTTTAATGTATGTCATGAATATATTTGTCTCTTTCCTAATTCCATAATTTATTTTTTTAATGTATGTCATGATTTAAAATATAGTATTTATTTTATTTTTCTCTCTATATAAAAAGCAGGATTTTTATGTTTTTTAAATCTATATGATATTAGGATATTTCAAATTCTACATCTATATCTGGAGAGTCGGATATAAATTTAAAGTGAATATTTTTAAAATATATTTTTAGATTGGTTTTTTTCTTTTTCTTTTATACATTATATTTTTGTTGTTATTAAATTAGGTTTCACTATGTTTCAATTAGATTTAGTTTCTTGATATGCCGTTATTTTTTTTCCTTTTTTGGTACAATCGAGGTTTAACATTTTTCAATTTTTGAATTGAATAGTTGAGAGTTTCAAGATCTAGAATTGTATTTCTTGTATTTCGAGAGTCGCATCTGTTGAGATATTTTTTATATATTCAGTTTTAGATTTAGTAGATTTATATTTAGATTTGGTCTTATTCATCGTACTTTTATATTTAGATTTGGTTTTATCCATCGATTAGATTACTTAGATCTGAGTGTATCGAGTCTATTTTGTATTTCAGCTCCGGTGGAGAGTCAACTATTTTCGACTCCGGTGGAGAGTCATGTCTTTTTCGGCTCCAGCAGAGAGTCATGTCGTTTTCAATATCTAAATATAAATCCACTAAATCTAAAATCGAATATCTAAAATATCTCAACAACATCTAAACTCAAAGTGATTTTCTTTTTCAATATTTTATCATATTCTCCACTTTTTTATATTTTGACAGATTGCTGATGTTCTTATTATTTACTTTCAATAACAATTCGAGTTAACCTACTTTTTTTTTTTTTTTTTTTTTTTTTTTTGGATTGATGGCCCATGCCCCCAAGTCCTTTACGGGCCATTTTGATCAATATATATATATATATAATAAATATTATAAATATATAATATTAAAATTTATTTGATTGTATTTAGATTTGAGTTTCTATTAAATATATTTGATATGGTATTTTTTTAAAAAAAAAAATAGCATATTTATATTTGTAATAGAAACAACAACCCCAAAAATTATTTAAAAACAAATTATTTATTTATTATTTATATATATAATAATTACCATTTTTTCCCGGGGACCATCAAAATCCGGGAATGGGCCTGGATGCACTTGAGGTTCAGTTTTATGACACACTTTAGGTTCGGCAAAAAGTTCAAAATTCTCTCATCAGTTATACATTAGTCCTAATCTAAAATAAATTTAGATAATATTATTTTGTTTCTTTATATAAAACAAACAGCGCACATGTCTTAAATATGGAATTGAGTAGTCAAAAATAACATATTTCACATTCTACAGCCGAAGCTAGACTCAATGTGATGTTTTTATTCTCATATTCCTTCTCTCTTTCCCTCTTGATATGTCGTCGCGATTGTTACTCATTTACAATTAAGTACAATTAGATTGAATTGACTTTTGTTGAATACTTGAGATTCTTTCGATACACTCGAAGTTTTTTCGATATGCTCGAGGTTTGACAAAAAAAACTCGAAATCAATTACTTCCTTCCAGTTCAAATGATATTGTGGACTTGCAATCGTAACCTATAACAAAGTGATATACTATTGTTTTTTTCCCTATATATAATTTATTAATCGAGAATTCAGAGATCTCGCATTTTAAATACATTATTTGCAGAGTTGGATCTAAACTCAAACTCAAGGTGAATCAATCTATCCTTATATGCACTCTCTCATTTTCCTTTGATGGATTGTTGATACTATTATTCATTCATTTTTTAAGCTACGATTTAGTTGGATTTAGGTTTTCGATACACTCGAGATTTTGTTGATATACTCGATGTTCAAAGAAAAATCTAAAATATTTCTCTCTTTCGATTTCCGATACACTCAAGGTTTTATCAATATACTTGAGGTTTTATCAATTAGATCAAGTTTCTTGATATGCTTGAGGTTTTTTATTTTATTTATTTATTTATTGATACACCACTACAAGAAAAAATCATTTTTGTAACAAAAATTTTTTTGTCTCTAAATTTACTTTTTCCGTTACTAATGACATTAGAGACGGAATTAGGAATGAAATTACGTTAGTTACGTGAACTTTATGAACGAAATTCTGTTACAAATATATTATTTTTTTGTAGTGCACTAATGTTAAAGAAAAAAAAAATCAAACCAATGGCATTGAGAAAATAAAGCAAATATTTTATTGATTGTTATTATCATTTTTATCAACTCGATATTTGTAAATAACATTCCATTTTTATAGTATTCTTGAGGCAAGTTTGAAGGCCGGAGAAGGACACAACAAATTCCTATCATTTGCTTAGATTTCATATTCTACAAAATGGTAAGATTTTTTATTTTATTTTTATTTAAAATTTCTTAATATAATATTGATTACAATGGGTTTAGGGCCGCATTTGTAATAACTATAATTTATTCGGGCTTATTGTGCTTATCCTTAAATTAAAAAAATAAAAAAATAAAAATAAAATAAAAAAATCTTATTATTATTATTATTATTATTATTATTATTATTCAAAGAAATGTCATATAATAACATCGTATACAATTATATTCTTCTACTTTAGAGTAACCTTATCTCTTCTATATGATACATATTTTTTAATTTTACATTTATTTTTGTCAAAAGGGACGTTCTTTTCCTTCAAAAGAACCTAATATTTCTTAGAAATCATTGGTACCACATAGGAAAAATAGAATTTATCTAGAGAGGAAAAGCCCCACATACTAAATACAGATTTTAAGAATTTGTTATGTATATTGGTTGTACAAAACAATTAAAAAAAGGGAGTATTTTATGTATTTTAGCGAACACCAAAATTAGTTGATTTAATGGTTAAACAGCTAAAAAACTCTCCAATAAGTTAAAAGCGGTTGAAAAAGTTGTTTGTCAAACACATTCTAAAAAAAACATTCTGTTTTTTTCCAGAAGCACCACCTAAGGTGCTTTTAAAAAAAATATACTTTTAGAGTCTAAAAGTTGCTTCTACTAAGAAATAAGAATAAATATCTTTTTTTACAAGCAGAAGTCAAAACTGAAAACCTAAAAAATATAATTATATTATTATTTTTATTATTTATATGTTATACTTTAATTAAAAGTTAAAATTATAATTGACCAACCAAATTTAAATAGGTGAATATAAATTTTTTAATTATATTAAAATTGTTAAATATTATTATAAAATTTAAAAATAAATTATAAAATACGAATAATTTAATATTAAATTTTAATTTCAATTTTAATTTATATATTATCCTTTAAATTTAAAATTTCAAAATATAAATAACTAAATTTAAAAATATATATATTTTTTTTGTACTTTTATTTAAAATCTTTAAATATAATTAATAAAATTTAAAAATAAATTATAAAAGTTTTATAGAAAACTACAAGTCCATTAACAATATATACTTTTTAGTAATTTTAAAAGTTTAAAAAGCATTTTCAACTCTATTATATCCAAACACAAAATCGAAGCTTCTGCTTTTTGACTTATGCTTATTTTTAAGTCAATCTAAACATGCTTTAAAACATAATAGTATTTAATTAGTTAGTTGAAGTGCGTAATATGATATTGACATTTTACCCTTGCAAGTACAAAAGAAAAGAGTATTTTTCAATAAAAGAAGTTAGCAGTATTTTGGTGTTTATAAATGAATTACTTTAATTATAATAAAAAATAAATATTTTTGAGTGAGACGAAAATGATAAAAGATACAAAGAGAAAGCAATTTTCTTTAAAAAAATAATAGTATTTAATTAGTTAGGTGAAATGCGTAATATGATAT